TGATTCTTCCCGGTTTTGTGCATGTTCTTCGGAGCCCATCCAACAGACGGATCGGCTCCAGCTTGTGAGGGTGGCTGAACTACTACTATTTAACCGACCTACTTACTAAACGACCCGCATAAGGATCCAAACACACGAAATCGAAGACTTCTATGCTTATATAAGGAATAATTTGTTTGAACTCACCGTTTTATGGAGTTGAACAGCTTTGTGAGGCATATTGACGAATGACTGATACTCGAAGAAATGTTTTGCGATGAAGTTCATACCCTGAATGATGAAAATATCGGGACAAGCCATACATATTACCCAGGCGTTTCTCCTCTCTCACCCAGACACCCCCATTCATGCAATACTTAACTGCCTTCTGTCTCTTTACTTTTCTCTCCTAATCGGCTCTCCAGTTGCACTCATTATCGCACCATGCCCAAACTCGTCTGCCAGAGACTTGAGTGCAAAAATTCTACTCTCTCAGTTCGCCTCGTAATTAGGCAATGGGTTTCTATATTGTCATTATTGAGGGATACTCGGAAAGCTAAAGAAAAGCAATTGAAGCTGAAGAGCGCTCAACGTTTTGATTCGCAAAAAGTTCCCATCCCAATCCGAATTACTATTTAAGTTTATAATATCGAACTCACGAGTTTTTAGTAGTTGGCATAAGGAGGCCTAGAACGAATGCGTGTATCTACTACAACCCTCATAGCGAAAGGCTGTGGAAGTGCTGTGGATGTATGCTAAGCAACGAATCGCTTTTCCCCCGACTTTCTCTTTGCAAATGACTTTTCACGACCGGCGAAATTCGCAAATGTGCTAAGCTTCATGACTTGCAAAATGCCATCAGGAGGTGCTAATGAACGAAAAAAGACATTTTGCAGCTGACTGCCGTCAATGTCCGACTAATCCAATTGTACTTATAGGCTCTTGACAATTCTCAGTACAGCGCACCATCAAGATTTTTATTTAGTTCGTGAAATTCCTGCTGAAAGCAATATTGTTATACCGTACCTTGGCCTAATTTATCGGCTCAAGTACAGTATTATCGTTGACTACAGTATTGCACCTACAGTATCTTTGGCTACAGTACTGCGACCTATGGTGTCGCTGACTACAGTATCGGTAATTACAGTATCGCGCCTCTAGTATCGTTGATTGCAATATTGCGCCTACAGTATCGAATACTACAGTATTGCGCTTATAGCATCGTCGACTACGGTACTGCGCTTACAGAACCGTCTACAATATTACGCCTTCAGTGTCGTTGAATATGGTAGTGCGAATACAGTGTCGTTGAACTGACTGCATCTACAGTAGTGTTCACTACAGTACTGCGACCTACAGTGTCGCTGACTACAGTGGTGCGCCTACAGTATCGGTGACTATATAATAGTAGCGCGCTTCTAGTATCGTTGCCTGTACTGTTGCACCTACAGTATCATTGACTACAGTACTGCGACCTACAGTGTCGCTGAACTCAGTGTGCGCCCACAGTGACGTTGAACTGTACTGCGCCTACAGTATAGTCAACTACAGTACTGCGACCTACAGCGTCGTTGATTACAGTACTGCGCCACAGTATCCTTGACTACAATACCGCACCCACAGTATCGTTGACTACAGTACTGCAACCTACAACGTCGCTGACTACAGCAGTGCTCCTACAGTAACAGTGATTGAAAGAGCGCGCCCCTTGTATCGTTGCCTGTAGTGTCGCGCCTACAGTATCATTTAGTATGGTACTGCGCCCTACAGTGTCGCTGAACTCAGTAGTGAGCCTACAGTGACGTTGAACTGTACTGCGCCTACAGTGTAGCCAACTACAGTACTGCGGGTACAGTATCCTTGACTACAGACTGCAACCTACAGCGTCGCTGACTACAGTAGTGCACCTACAGTAACGGTGAGTAAAAGGGCGNGTATCGTTGCCTGTAGTGTCGCGCCTACAGTATCATTGAGTATGGTACTGCGGCCTACAGTGTCGCTGACTACAGTAGTGCACCTACAACATTGTTGAGTACAGTACGGCGCCTACAGTATTGTTGACAACAGTACTGCGCCTACAGTATTGTTGACTACAGTACTGCGCCTATAGTATCATTGACGGAAGTATGGTTTTTTGTGCTACGTGCCTACACTATACATGTAGTTAAGCACCTGCGACAAGACGCTCATTTATATAATGGGCAGACCGTAGAAATAAGAAATATCTCCATTATTCAATACAGTTCTCACTTCAGGTGATTCACGTCCAAATTTCTCTTCACTAGATCGACTTCGAGGCGAACAGCATCGATGCAGTGGCCTAGGATGCCTTTTGGCACGCCACCAAAACGCAGGCAATATAATGCTGTCCATTTCTTCGTGGTGGTCCTATCGGCGAAATGAATTTTAGTGATATCAGAGTTCTAAAAATTCATCGAATACGTTAAAGAATGGAGTAGAAAAAAGAGAGGCAATAGAGTTGAGAGTTGTGAATCATTCAGTGAGATGATCGAAGCAGGAAATCAGAGAACGACCTAGATCCTTCTGAGATAGATGCATATACCGCCGGGGATATAAGAAGGGAAGAAGACTTGGGAGTGACTGGGAAGCCAGGGATGAGTGAGGCAGGCACGAAGAACTTCCAAGGACAAAGAACAAAGAAAAACGACAGAGACGCGTGACTCCTTGTTCCGCAGCTAGAGCTCAGCAGGCGCTCAAAATCGCAACTTTTTGGGGCCCTCCATTCGTGCATGTAGGAATAGGGCAGGACCTACTAAAAAATGGACCAGCTAACTTTTCGATCGAAAGCGTTAGCCCTTTTCCAGGTCAAGGCCATAATGGTGGAAGGGATTTCTCCCGAACCCTTACATTGAATGGATTCCAAAAGTTTCTACACCAAAGAGAGCAACAACATCACTGAGACCATATCGTTCTTCTGTTTCGAAACACATGCTTCACCCTTACAATGAATTATAGGAATACATAGATTACCCTTGAGGCCATATAATCCATGTAATTCATATGCAAACGTATGATATCCAAAGAAATTGATAAAATTTCAGAGCAGAGCTCTTAAAAATTGCATCTCCACTGCGAAATATCGCAACCATTTTGAAAGAAAGCGAGATGGCTATTTGCTGAACTTGGAACTTCAAGTTTCTAGGCTTCCAAATGCCTCAGATAATTCCACGCTCCGAGAATGGCCCATTTTATGAAATTTCACGGAGGGATTCAAATCATACATATTTTACCTCTGTTCTAAGCGGTTTCAATTGGCTGTAAAGGGTCCTCAGCTTTTCATTCGATCCGATCTGCTTTAGGACAAACAAAGGGCATCAATGTAGTAAGAAGTCAGTATGTATCAACGTCACATATAAATTGGAAGGATTATCAAATCAGGCTTGTCCTCCCTACCCTTCAAGTCCTCCCTCCAAAGTCATTTTGGACATCTTTGTCATACCCTTATCTGCTGACAATAGCTCCGTTCGGATGTGTGAGTGGGATGCCCTTTGGTCTCACTCCCTTTCTCCGATCCCAAAGGATGAGGCCATAAGTTCCTGTTTTCGTGTTACTATTTTCTTTTGGCAGTGAATATAAAGTGAATAAGGATCACCTATAAGCAAAGGCTTGTATGAGAGTCGGAAAAGATCATCAGAAAACATCTAAAAAACGATAAAAGCAGTGCCATTGTTGTGTTCCCCTAAGGCCAGCCGATCTAGCACAAACGTATAGCTGAGGCAGGTAGTCCGATGGGACCATTGTCGGGCATTGAAGACGCATCATTATGCTGCCTACTCAATAGAGTGCCGTCTTAGTGAGTACAATTAATTACAACGGAAGAGTCATCTGAACGAATGAGACCCGGCTCTAAAAGCATGACTCTCAAGACGACGAAGACGACCAAATTAGAGTTGAGAAGCCGACATGACACGGAAAAACACTGCCCGCCCACGTCAACGAAGAAACTCATCCAGACCAGATGAGGCAACTGCAGTTTACAAAAGGCGAAGGTAATGGATTGCCACTCAGTAGAGAAGCCCACCATGAAGAGCCATCCCTATGAGGCGACAATCAAGTCGAAACTCTAATGGGGTAAACTATAAGCAACTAGCTATCCCTAGCTAGTGGCTACTTCGTGTTAAAGAGGATTCGGTAGGCCTGAGTGATATTTGAGCCTTACTTGGTTGTGAAGAATTTTCATGATCCATAGTTCACCAACCAAAGAACCAGGCTTCCCCACTGGTCTAAAAAGGCTATGCTATAACTGTAAATCATGTCAGATGGGCAATCTCTACCTCTCCTCCTATCTGAGTAGCTCAGAAAAGCTTATACATGGCCTAAAGCTCTGAGGTTCATGGTTGGCAGAAAGGAGATCAGAGAAAGACTGAAACCAATGCGTTGGCTGTAAAAGCATTAAGGCGAGGGAAAAATTTATGAGTTGCAATGGAATTGATTGGACCCTTACAGTTGTCATTCTTGGATAAAATCGCTATCCATCTAGCTCAGAGCTTAGTCTTTCTTGAGGCCCCCGCATTGATCTTGAGTGACGCTGTATGGATGGTTTTACGATGGTTTTATTTGAATGAGCTCCTTAAGCAGGTAAGAAAAATCACTGCAAAAGTGATCTCAGCGGGTGTAAGACAAGTTCCTTGTTAGCTAAGATCGGAGAGCCATGTGAGGATTAAGACCAAAAAATAAAATGTTCTTCTCATTTTTTTCTAGGACTGAGAGGAACAAGTGACGGAGGGTGCTGGTCCTTTTCTTGGTCTGAAGTAAATACGCTCATATCAAACAAGCCATTTACACTTACTTACATGGATTGCAAATCGGTCTGGTAGGGTTGCACTATTTACCGTCTCGGGGGACCAGGTATCGATCTACCGTATAGGCAATCAAGCATTTATAAGCTACTGGTAGCGTGAAGCTTTTAAGGGACACAAATGCGTGAGCATTCTGAATAGGAGTGATCGACGATTACGGTTGACCCCTCCATCATTTTTAATCCTTAATTGACAAATAATATCAAAATATTACCCAAGCAAGCTTTAAAAATTTTCAGGACTATTAATGAGGGCAGCGGATATCTACGAAGGATCATTTGCAAATTCATAACTGAGAGGGTGAATTGCCGATCTCGTTCAACCCTTCCAAATGAGTAAAAGAGGAGTTGTGTAGATTCACTCATGGAGGAGGTAAATGGTGCGTGAACAGCGTATTTAGCTCTTGAAGGGTTTCTGCTGTCATGGTGGCAGGAAACACCACTTGCTGTACAACTTCAGTTTGTAGTAGAAGCCTTCCGTTGAATTTGCAAAGTTGTTGTA